ATTGGAAGAATTAAGATCATCAAAATGTCCATACTACCCAAAGCAATTTACACATTCAATGCAATTCCTATTAAAGTACCAATGGCTTATTTCACAGACATAGAACAAACACTTCAAAAATTTATATGGAATCATAAACGACTGCAACTAGCTGCTGCAATTTTGAGAAAGAAGAGTCAAGCAGGAGGGATCACAATACCTGACACTAAACTATACTACAAGGCCACTGTAATCAAAACAGCCTGGTACTGGCATAAAAACAGGCACATGGACCAATGGAACAGAACAGAGCCCAGAAATAAACCCAAGTCTCTATGGTCAATTAATATTTGACAAAGTGGGCAGCAACATAAAATGGAGTAAAAATAGCCTCTTCAACAAATGGTGTTGGGAGAACTGGACAGCCACGTGAAAAAAAATGAAACTCGAGCACCAACTTACACCTTATACAAAAATAAATTCAAGGTGGATAAAGGATTTAAATACAAAACGTGACACCATTAAAGTACTAGAGGAGAACGTAGGTAGGAAATTCTCAGATATCTCATGCAGAAACTTTTTTACTGACATGTCCCCTAGAGCAAGGGACATAAAGGAAAGAATAAACAAATGGGACCTCATCAAAAAAAAGCCCCTGCACAGCTAAAGAAAACAGTATAAAAATAAAAAGATAACGAACTGTATGGGAAAACATATTTGCCAATGATACCTCAGACAAGGGTTTAATCTCCAAAATATATAAAGCACTTACACAACTCCACTCTAAGAAGACAAGCAAACCAATTAAAAAATGGGCAAAGGACTTGAACAGACACTTCTCCCAAGGAGGACATACAGAAGATCCAAGGACACATGAAACGATGTTCAATATCGCTAGCTATCAGAGAGATGCAAATTAAAACTACTTCACACCAGTCAGAATGGCCATCATAAACACAGCAACAAACAACAAGTGTTGGAGAGGTTGTGGAGAAAAAGGGGACCCTAGTGCACTGTTGGGGGGGGACTGCAGACTGGTACAACCACTATGGAAAGCAGTATGGAACTTCCTCAGAAAACTAAAAATGGATCTGCCTTTTGACCCAGCAATTCCACTGCTGGGACTATATCCTAAGAACACTAAAACACCAATCCAAAAGAACCTATGCACCCCAATGTTCATAGCAGCACAATTTACAATAGCTAGGTGCTGGAAGCAACCTAGATGCCCATCAGTAAATGAATGGATCAAAAAACTATGGTACATTTACACAATGGAGTCCTATCAGCAGAAAGAAAGAAGGAGCTCCTACCCTTTGCAACAACTTGGATGGAGCTGGAAAGCATTATGCTAAGCGAAATAAGCCAGGCAATGAAAGACAAACACCATATGATCTTCCCTTTAACAGGAACCTAAACAACAAAACAAAGAAACAAGCAAAACATAACCAAAGACACTGAAATAGCGGACAGGCTAACAGTGACCAGAGGGGAGAGAAGAGGGAATTTCAGGGGAGAATCGGAAGGGCTTACAGGAACAAATTGAAAGGACACATGGTCAAAAACTAGGTGGAGGGTGGTGATGGGAGGGAGGTGGGGAGGGTTGGGTGGGTAGGCTGGACTGGGAGTAAAAGGGAGAAAACTACTTGAACAATGATTAAAATAAAATTTAAATAAAGTAATCAAACATGATCTTAAATCCCACACATCTCACATCAGGCAGGAGATGCACAAACACAATGCAACTACAAAACAAAATGAGTGGCTAAGAGAATGTTACACTGGATGTCAGTTCCAGTCTAGGAAATGAGGATGGTAAAGAAGAGTCCACAAGGAAATTATATTTGAGCTGAGACTGGAGCAATGATTGGATGTTACTGAGATTGTGTTGACACACAGGAGAAGTCTGTATATGTGTCAACAGTTTTTGAGAGTCCTGTGAATCTCACATGACTTTAAGGGCTGTTCCTGCCCTAGTTAATATAATTATTTTCATCTGTTGCAAAACCCATCTACTGAATATTTTGAATTATGGCCTTTTTGAGATGTATTTCATATACCATAAATTTCACCCATTTACACTGTACAGTTCAGTAACCTTTAAAATACTTACAAATTTGTATGATCATCACAATCTAACTAGAACGTTTTCAACTCCTCAAAAAATTCACATTAGCAATCAGTCCTCATCTCTGCTTCCATGCACCTCACCACCCACCACAGTCCCACGGCACCAGTGCTCTACTGTCTGTCTCCTTGGACATGCCTGAACCAGACATAAATGTATTCATACAATATATGGTCTTTTATGACTGGATTCTGTCACCTAGCCTAATGTTTTTCAATCAAGGTTCACCAGGTTCACCATGTTGCTGCAAGTTTTTATGTCTGAATAATATTTTTAATTCCTTTTTAATGGCTAAATAATTATATATAATATTTTATATGTGTGTGTGTGTATGTATGCCATTCTTTTATCCATTGATTGATTAATGGATGGTTAGTGTGTTTCCAATTGCTGGCCATTTTGAATAATGCTGCTGTGAGCATTCATGGACAAGTTTTTGTGTGGGCATGTGTTTCCATTTGCTTTGAGTATATACATACAAGTGGAATTGCTAGGTCAAGTGGTAGCTATATGTGTTCAACATCTGAGAAACTATCAAACCATTTTCCAAAGTGGCTGCACTATTTTACATTCCAACCAGCAATGCATAAGAGTTCACATTTTTCTACATCCTTGCACACGTTTTTTACTCTCCATGTTTTTATTTTAACAATTTAACATAATTACTATGAGGCAACCTCTCATTTTAATGTCTTTGATTTTCATTCTCCTAACAACTCAAGGAGTTGAGCATCTTTCCATATATCTGTTGGCCATTTGTATGTCTTCTTGGGAGAAGTATCTGTTCAGGTCCTCTGCCCATTTTTTTACTGGATTGTTCCTTTCTTTGTTACGGAATTGTGTTTTTTATTTAATTTATTTTTTTAAATTATCTTAATGTTGTTCAAGTATAGTTGTCTGCATTTACCCCTACCACTCTCCCAGAAACCCAGTCATCCCTGAATCCCTCCCCTGATTCCAACCCCTGCCCACTGTTGGTTTTGTCCATGTGTCCTTTGTAGTTGTTTATGAAAACCCTTGTGGAATTGTAAGAGTTCTTTATATTTTTTGGATATTAAGCACTTATCAAAGGTGTTGTTTGAAAATACCTTCTCCTACTCAGTAAGCTGCCATTGGATATCCACCTGAAAATTTTGAAAACATTTATTTGCAAAGATATATGCATCCCTATGTCTATTGCAGCATTACTCTTGGTGGACAAGACATGGAAACAACTTAAGTGTCCTTTGATAGATGGTTGAATAAAGATGTGGTACTTACATACAATGGAACACTACTCAGCCACAACGAAAGATGAAGTACTGTCTTTGGGACAACATAGAAGGAGCTGGGGAATAGCATACTAAGCAAAATAATTCACACAGAAAAAGTCAAGAACCATATGATTTCATTCATATGCAGAGTACAAAATTGAAAGCAACGAATGACCAAATAAGACAAACAAACAAACAAAAATTCACAGACACACAGGCAACAGTATGGTGGTGACCAGAAAGGGGGATGGGAAGAGGGAGTGAGGGTAAAGGTGGCCAAATATAGGGTGATGGAGGAGATTTGACTTTGGTGGAAAACAAACAATGCAGTATACAGATGATGTATTAGAGAACTGTGCACTTGAAACCTATATAATATTATTAACCAATGTCACCACAGTAAATTTAATTTTTAAAAGATTTTAAACTTTTACATGTGTGTTTATAGCAACACCTTTCATAGTAGTTACAAATGGAAAAAATTCAAATGTCTATCAACTGATGGATAAATTTTAAAAATGTGGAATATCTATATAATGGGACATTATTTACAAACAACACCAGCAACAAAAACAACAAAGAATGATGTCATGATACTGGATAAAACATGATGAACATTGAACACATCATGCTAAGTGAAAGAATCCCATCACAAAGATAATATGTATTATTTCAATTATGGGAAATATCCAGGATAGGGAGGTCCATGTAGATTACAGGTTCAGGGCTTGGAGGAGTGGGTAGCAGGAAGGGGGAGTGCATGATATTGTGTATGAGATTTCTTTTGGGGAGCTGAAAATGTTGTGAAAGTTGATCGTGGTATCGACTGCACAACTCTGTGATTATTGTCAATACCATGATTTGTACTCTTTAAAGGAGTAAATTTTAAGGTGTTTGAAATATATTTCAAAAATGAGTAAAGCCATTAAAACTAACGTTAAAAGCTGAAAATAAAAGAGTGAAACTCTGGAGCCAGACACTCTGGATTTGAATACCAGCTCTGCTATTTACAAGCTGTCCACTTTTGGTCATTTACTTAATGTCAACATGTCTCAATTTACTTATCTTTAAATGGGTCCATTGCAGTGTCTACTTTACAGTACTGTGAGAGGACGAATCGTGCTAACTAATATAATAACAGCTAGAAAAATGACTGGCACAGAGTATGCACCATGCAAATCTCAACTGTAATACAATTTATTGTTTATATTATTTAAATCAGCCCTATTCCCCAAATATAAAATCAGAACCTCCTATAGTGTTTAGATAAAGAGGAAAATTACATTGTTTATAATAATGTCCAAAGCACTTTTTTAAATTATACCTTTGTAGGGGTTAGGATCAAGGGTGGGAAGAGGGGATGACTGGGGTGGGGGGGGAGTGGTGGGAGGAAAATGGAGACAACTGTACTTGAACAACAATAAAAAATGTGAAAAAATGAAAATAAATTAAAAATAAATTATACCTTTGTTATTTCAAGAAGAGGTTTAAAGACATTCCCCTTAATCATTATAAAACATGACCCAAGATTACCACTTGTTGTCTCCAGTAATATGATCTGGCATAATCAAATACTACACTGGTTTTATAAAGGCCAGAGACATGGTGAAGAAGATAAAGAAGTCAGAATTTGCCCTTACCGGGCAGCTGTTCCATAAAGGTGAGGCCTGGATGCTGCAGAAATGGCCACAATGACAGCCGGGACTCCATAGCCCACAGGGAACATGAACTTCTTCATGAACCTGCTCACATTGGAGTAGTTGACCACAGTGAGGTTGCGTGCAGTGAGGAAGAGGTGCAGGCCCTCCAGCAGCATCCAGGTGAAGGAGGCCAGGTAGAGGTAGTGTAAGGCACCTGCGATGATGGCACACAGCACCTGGGGAAGCAGTCAGAGTCACCAGGTGGGATTGTCAGGGTGGAATATGGTCCCAGCACCTGTCCTATGCCTTGCCATTGGGAAGATCTCTGTTGTATATAAAGGAATAGTCAAAGAGGATGTGTTTGCTAGTTGGGTCAGTCAGTGTGAAATTGGCTACTCACCCCTCTTAACCTTCCCAGAACCCAAGGACATTTTATTAAGGGGTTAGAGATGGAGCCCTGAACTCCACATTCTATGACAGGTCACAGGGTCCTTTGGGACAGCATCAGTACCCTGAGCTCCGTTCTGTCGATGGCAGTGAGGAAGAGCAGGTGGGCCAGGAAGAGGCAGATGCAGAGCTGAAGGTGGAGGGAGGTGCTGGTGTTCTGGATGGCTTTGCACAGCAGGAAGGTGAGGGCCGCCAGGAAGAGGCACAGCAGAGAGAGGCTCAGCCCCCACATAGGTGATCACAGCCAGGGCGACATCCTCCTCCTGAGACCCAGCAAAGAAGAGATCTCAGTCACACTGTCCTGTTCTGGGGCAATAAAACTTCAACCATTTACCCTTCCCTTCCCTTCCCTTCCCTTCCCTTCCCTTCCCTTCCCTTCCCTTCCCTTCCCTTCCCTTCCCTTCCCTTCCCTTCCCTTCCCTTCCCTTCCCTTCCCTTCCCTTCCCTTCCCTTCCCTTCCCTTCCCTTCCCTTCCCTTCCCTTCCCTTTCCTTTCTTTTTCTTTCTTTTTCTTTCTTTCTTTCTTTTTTTTTATTTCTTTTCTTGAGGCAGAGGGAGTGGGGGGCAGAGAGCGTACAGCAATGTTAGGAATGGGGGGCAGAACCAGGTAAAATAGTGATATTTATGGATACTGTTAGAATTTTCTGGAGTTCTGAACTGATTAATTCAGACTGGAAAAAACAAAATATGGAAGAGTCCTCTCTCAAGACCAAGCCCTGGAATTCACAGGGTTCATTTTCCTCTAGACTTCTGGGCATTGACTAAGCTGTAGGTGATCATGTAGGGTCATGGGGGCACACAGCTTCAGGTTACTGTGTGACCAAGTCTGTGCCTGGAGACTCGATGTCCAGGGATCAACTCCCCACCCCAGACTCACTCACCTCATCCCTGCAACACTTCTTCCTTACTGTGATGTCCTTGGTTAAAGAAGGGAAAGGACTATGCTCTGATGCCTTTGGTTTTCAAGATTAAAACTTTTCTGCCTATTGTTTCAAGTCATCTTAAAGCCATGAGGAATATTAAAAAAAATTAATTTTGGTGTAAGTAGGTGATAAAAAGAGGGAGGGAGGGAGAGAAAAACAAATGTAAAACTGATAGAGAAAACAGAGGTAAAATGTTTAAACTTGGCACATCTGGATATAGAGTGGTATGGTATTATTTGCACTATTTCTATTGTTGCAACAAATCTGTAAGATTCAAATTGTTTACAAATAAATAGCAAGCCCTCCAGGTGATTTTGATGCATACTAGGTTTGAGAATCTTTGGTGTAACAAGATAAAACCAATTCCTCTGCCACATAAAGAGCTCCCAGATCCATAAGAAACTTATCAACAGGCCAATAGAAAAGTGGACCAAGAAATGAATGACCTCTTTCCAGACACACACAACAAAAGGCTCTTAAATGAGGTTCTGTTCCATTCATAATAAAAAAGACACAAAAATTCTCCTAGATATTCTATTTAACTCTCAGATACATAAAAGATCTAAAACCTTGACAATGCCCTTGTGCTAAGGGTCTGAGGAATCACACACCTTCGTGTAATGCTGGTGGGAGTGTTCTCATATGTGACCTCTGTATGTTGACCATGGAAACATCTACCCACATATGGATATGACTTTGACCCAGTGTACCTCTTAACTAGACACTTGAACAGGAAAACAATGAAGTGCGTGTGAATTGTGACAATGTTATCTGTATGAGGAAATGATCATGAAATAACATGCCCACTCTGAGAAGAACTGACATGTCATTTAGGGCACATTCATGAACCGGAATGCACTGTCAGTAAAAATAATGGTGTGTCACTTTGTAGACTGGAATAATCTCTTAGGTGTCATAAATAAAAACACAAAACACAACAATGAAAAATGCCACTATGTGAGTAAAAAAAAAACAGGGACAAAAAACAGTCACTTGTATTTTTTTATATGTATAAAACAATCATTAAAACATGTAAGAGAAACTAACAACTCTTTCTGAGGCAAGAGGAAGTAGGTGCCTGGGGTTAGGAGTGAGGCAGACAATCTTCAAAGTTTCTCTTTTATTCTGTTTGAGTTTGAAACACACATATTTTAAGTCTTCAGTAAAATAGAGTAAAAACACCCTCTTCAACAAGTGCTGCTGGGAGAGCAGGACAGGCACATGTAAAAAAGTGAAAAGAGACCACCAACTTACACCATACACCAAAATAAACTCAAGGTGGATAAAAGACTTAAATATAAGTTGTGACACAATAAAAGTCCTGGAGGAAAACATAGGCAGGAAAATGTCAGATATCCCACACAGCAATATCTTCACTGATAATATCTCCCTGGGCAAGGGATGTAAAAGATAGAATAAACAAAGGGGACTACATCAAATTAAAAAGCTTCTCCACAGCTAAAGGAAATATCAGCAAAATGAAGGGGAACCATCTGCATGAAAAGACATATCTGCCAATGATACCTCAGACAAAGGTTTGATCTCCAAAATACATAAAGAAGTCACACAACTCAACACCAGAAGATAAGCAACCCATTTAAAAATGGAAAAATGACCTCAAGAATCACTTCTCCAAAGAAGACATACAGAGGGCACAGGGACATGTGAAAGGATGCTCAGCATCACTAGCCATCAGAGAGATGCGAATTAAAACCACACGGAGATATCACCTCACACCATTCAGAATGGCCATCATTAACTAATCAAGAAACAGCAAGTGCTGGCTAGGTTGTGGGGAAAAGGGAACCCTAGTGCACTGTTGGTGGGAATGCAGACTGGTGCAGCCACTGTGGAAAACTGTATGGAATTTTCTCAGAAAGCTAAAGATGGAACTGGGTTTGATCCAGTGATCCCACTGCAGGGATTATACCCTAAGGAACCTGAAACACCAATTCAAAGAGCCTGTGTACCCCATTGTTCATAGCAGCACAATTTACAATAGCCAAGTGCTGGAAACAACCAGTGAGCTTAGAGGACTCCAAGCCTCAGATAAGATTGCAGTTATTTTGGCCTTGTTAGACCCTGAGAGGCAAACTCAACTACCCCATGGCAGATTGCTGACCCGAAGAAACTGCAAAATAACAAACTTGTGTGTGTTCAGGGTGCTGCATGTGTGGGAATTTACTACACAACAATAGACATTGAACAAAGCCCCTTCCCAAGGCTCTCACCTGCACGTCATACTGGGCCATGAGGACGGCAAAGCTGCTGAGGTGCGTGCACAGGCAGGTGGTGCTGGTGTCTCCAGTGCCCACCATCCTGCAGCCTTTGGTGGCCCAGTGACCACTTCCATTCTGGCCATGCTCCCAGAAGACACAGAGCACCTGCTGCCTTGGTCCAGGGGTCACTGACTGTAGGAACAGGGCCCAGGTGTGAGCTGTGGTTCTGGTGCCCAGAAATGCTGACCCAGATCTCGCTTGTGAAGGGCTTTCCTGGGGAGATGATGTACCCATGGGGGCACACTTTGAATTCCAAGACTGTGCACAAAACTCAGGCCTCTTCTGCACCCACAGCCCCATCCCACAGGACTCACATGCTGGAAGACAAAGGTGACTGGGGAGCTGAGGTGAAAGGGCTACTTTGCATTGACAACTCTTTACTGAGCACCTACTGTGTGTGTCAGCCAGGGGCGTGGCACAGAACAAAGCAGACACAAGTCCCTGCCTTTGTGGGAGCTGATGTGCTGCTCATGGGGAGACAGGCAGTACATAGTAAACCTAATAGATAAGTAAACTAGGTAGTGTGGTAGAAGGTGATCAGTGCTATTGGAGAAAAAAAGAAAAGAAAAGAAAAAAGGAGTGGGAATGGAGCAAGGTGGGGCATGATTGATTACAGATTGTAATTTTAAATAAGGAATTCAGGGAGAGCCTAAAAGAGAAGGTGGCGTTAGAACAAAGACTAGAAACAGGTAAAGGGCTGAGTCACGTGATGGAAAGCTGTCCAAGTCAGAGAGCACAGTAAGTGCAAAGGCCCTGGGGTACATGAAGGAAGCGGCAGAATGGGTGGAGGTGGGGAAATAGAGACGGCAGAGGGCCCATCATGACATGGTCCATAGGGTGAATACGGGGCTGATCCCCTCTACCCACCCAAGGACTCACAGGGTGGGAGAAGGAGAAGTTGACAGGGGAGCCTAGTTTCTCCATGTTCTTGTTGCTCAGAAAGATCGTGTTAACAGCAGAGAGGAGCCTGGGCTGGCCACCACCAACAGGACCTCCATGTGCGCTTTCCAGCTGGGCTTTCTTCTCAGGGTCCAGCTCCAGTGAAGCATTGGCCAGCAATCTCTGCATGTTGCGGCTGGAGAATAAGCCTGCCAGGGTGGGGCCTGGGGGACAGACAGGCTGGCTGCCTCTCCTGCCCTCCCACCTCCCTCCTAAGAACTATACATTAGGCATTTCCAATTGTTACATGTTTGGAACCTCACCCCTAGCCACACCCAGCTCTTTCTTCCCCCTCCCTGGCGTCCCCTCTGGCTCCCTGCTGTTACCCGGCTCCCCAGTGCCAACTGCCTCAGCCCAGTTCAGCTGCATCCGTGCATGGCTCTGGCCCGGGGTGATGGTTCCATTCCCTTGCTCCTGGATCACCAGGGACACCTCTGAAGGGAGAGGGGCAGTGACTGGGGGCTCCAGTTGCAGGGTAGGACCCAGCACTGGGGTGGGGCTGGAAGAGGCCTCACCTGTGTCCCAAGGGGAACAGTAGGTGAAGGAGGGTTCACCTATGGACTTGGTCAGGGTCCTCAGGACTTCTTCCAGGTACAACAGCAGGTAGGTGGCCACACGGTGCCGGTCAGGCAGGGTCAGGGCCTCCAGGTCCCCAGGGACTTCCAGTAGCTCATCCAATGCCTTGATAACATACTGGAGAGGAAGGGTTATAGCTGCTGGGTCACTGTACCACAGGAACCTCCCAAAGGACCTGATCTCACTCTCTCACTCAGGGACACACCAGGGAACCACCCAGGGTGCCTGGGAACAGGCACAGTGGAATCATCGAGACACAGCAGTAGCCAGAAAACAAGTAGGGGGAGGAGTGGATGCCTCTGAGCACCTGAAACAATGGCTCTGAACGTTGATCAGTCCCTGACGTTCTGCCAGGGACTGTTCTCAGTCTGCGCTGTCCAGGACGGTCGCAGTGACCCACGTGTGGTGCCACGTTGAAGTGGTAATATTTTGGATCTATTGGGTTAATGCAAGCTTCACATTAATTTCACTTGTTTACTTGTACTGTTTTTTTAATAAAGCTACTGGGAAATTTAAACTGACATAAGGGGCTCATATATTTCTGTGGGGCTAAGTGCATATGCTAAAACTGACATCTAATGCTAACTGTGTGCAGGCAGGAATCTTTGAGCCCTCTCTTAGTTCACTTAACCCTTCACAACTGCTACATGAAGTAGGAGACTGAGCCCCATGCATGGGGAGTCACTTGCCTGAGGTCACAGCAGAAAGTCGGGGGGAGGTGGAATTAGAACCTTTGTGGCTCAGCTCTGGAGGCAAAATTCTCCCTTGCTCCATTCTGTAGCCATTAGATCCCCCCTTGAGTGTGAGTGTGCATGTGAGGGCCCTGCTCCAGCCACTGGGGGACCCAGGAATCAGGGAGTGTGTGTACGTCTGTGTTTGTGTGATGGGGATATCCATGGGGTGTATATGCTGTACACACAGCCACACATGTTTCTCTGATCAGATGCGCTTGTTTGACCGGCCTCCACTCACCTGGAAGCATCCCCCAGCCAGCCCCTCACTGTCCTGATGTCCCGCCAGGTCCAGCCCTTACCTTGATGGTGTCCTGGGTTGAGGCGGGCATGAAGTATCTGCCAAGATCCTGGACTTCTTTAGAGAAGCGGGACAGACTCTGGGAGAGAGGAAAGGAGGGGTCAGAGAGCCTCACCCGTTGTGGGGGGAGCAGCATGGGATTGGGGGGGAAACAGTCCCTGCTGGAGTCACTCACCTGGCTTTTGATTCCAGGGGGAGGGATCCAAGTGGGGAAGGAGATCTCTGCAGGGCACAGAACAGAGGCTCATGAGGTGAGAGACTGTTTGTGTGTATTGGAGGTGGGGTCAAGGGTCAGGCCAGGTACCTTCACACTGGGTAGTCCTTTGTTTATGTAGGAATCCGGGTTTGGGCACCAAGCCTGGGAGGCAGTGGCACACGTATGAGCCCAGAGTGTTGATGCAGAAGGTGGAGTTGTGACACTGATACTCCCTGGAGCTGCACTCATCCACATCTGGGGGACATGAAGAAGGGGGTCAGGCCCTGCCTGTCCCAGCCAGATCAGGCCCCTCTCCTCTCCATGTCCCGTCCCTTCCCCCTATGAGTTCCCCTTATGCCCACCCCCTTGTCTGGAGGTGATGATACCTGGTGATTGCAGGTCCTTGAGTGGTGGACACAGGGACTATGGGAAGTGTGCAGAGGCCTGACACGTAGCAGGTGAGCCCCACAACAGATTACAGATGTCAGGTATCAAAATACCTTCATCCCAGTTATTGATTAGCTGCTGCCTGGATCCCCCTGGAGCCTTCCCCTGGATAAACCAGCTCCTTCCTCAGGACCCCCTAGGCTTTCTCCCACTTAGTCTCAAAGGAACTAATTCAGGGACAGCAGCGCATGACCAGCATTCATTCTGCTAGGATCCTGTGGGTACCACTGAGTATGTGATCAGACTGTGTCACTTGTGGCCTTTGGAGTGTGTGTGGGATCTGAATTCTGAACCTTCACAGACAGTGTTGTCTAGGCCACTGGGGGACCCAGGAATCGGCTTCCAGCCAGGGTGGCAGTGGCACAATTAGCACCTGGGACATTGAGGCAGTGCGTGGAGTTGTGGCAGGGGTTTTGCCCAGAGGTACATTCATCCACATCTGAGGACAAAGCCAGAGCATCAGACCCTCCCTCCACTCACTGCACTCTCTTCTCACTGCCCGGCACTAAGGTCCTCACCGCTAGTACACAGGCCACCACCTGGTGACCTTCAACTTCACCCTCTAAGCACAATATGGTGGCCTCCCTGAAAGGTGGACACAGCAGGGACCATAGTCTCCAGTGTATAGGTGGCAAAAGCAGGAGGGAAACTGAGTTTGTGGCTGGACTTCCTGACCAAAGACTCCTGCCTGCTCCCTCCTGGGCCCCGGCCCCTGTTCCCTTTCTAGGAACAGGAAGTGATACCTCCCTCAGCTTGTATGTGACACATGAGAAAGGGGAAGTGTCAGGGGGTGCTCACAGGGGCTCCACACAAAACCCCCAGCACATAAGGCCTTGCCACCTCCCTGCTCTGTGGCAGGACTGTCCAGGGAGACAATTCCTTGGGCAGGGCCTATTATGCAGCAATTTAAAAAAGAATAAAATCTTGCCATTTGCAAGAGCATGGAAAGACCCAGAAGGTATTAGGCGAAATGAAATAAGTCAGAGAAAGACAAATACCATATGGTTTCACTTATATGTGGAATCTAAAAAACAAAACAGCAAACAAACAAAAGGAAAGAAAAGCAGGTTCATAGGAACCAAGACCACATGGATGGTTGCCAGAGGGCAGGGGGAGGGGAGTGGGTGGAAATGTGAAGAGGAACATAGTCAATGTTGTGTGAGGAGTTTGCACCGGGACTGATGGTTCCTAGACTTAATGTGGTGGGCACACTGTAAGGTATATAAATGTGGTGGGCACACTCTAAGGTATATAAATGTGGTGGGAAGTGGGGCTGGTGTGCAGTGATTCAGCATGGAGCAGTGATGGCACCTCTTCTGATTTTTTCTGAAGGCATCCCCTGGACTGGCAGAAAGTCGTGAGAATTCACCTGTGAGCAAGGCCAGTGGTGGTCAAGGGCTGGGTGACTAGAAGGGAAAGCCAGTGCTGAAGTCCAAGGGGTGACAGCTGAGTCTGTTACCTGGTTTGTTGGGTTCCCACCGGGACACAGACCAGGGAAGCTGAGTGTGACTGCCAATGGTCTGTCTGCCAATGGTCTGGGCCCCCATGGTGACTGGGTTGACCACCTCAGGAGAGGGCCCAGCCTGAGACAGTGCTCCCCTATGATGCCCTCCCCTTGTCATCTGGTCCAGATGGGGACTTCTTTGTTCATACAACAATCTGAGCTTAGAGCAGGGGTTGACATCACCCTGCCCACCACCAACACAAGATCCTTCTGGGTCCCAGTCACCTCACCTGCACTTGGGTCTCTGAATTGAAACTGTTGGGGAGTGTCAGGGTGGGTGGGGCCTTGCTCAGGGGAATGGATGGGGGCTGAGCAGACATAGTGCCAGGAGGCATCTTCTCAGGTGGGGTTGTTGGTGAGGGGCACAGCTGGCCCAGCACAGTAGGTCTGCCTTTGAATCTCCCTTCCTTTCATGATGCTGGGTGTAATTCCAGGGCCCATCAAGGCCCATCAAGGACTGGGTGGGAGGGGGGTTATAAGAGATCTCCAGGTATGACTGAGTCCATGTGGGATCCAGTCAGGGCAAGGGGTCTCATCCTGCCAGTCACTGACCATGGTGAAGAAGATGGATGTTGCGCTGGAACCCAAGGTGCTGTGAACTCATGAAGTCTCTTAATACCACAACCCCTCTTGTTTCATAAAAATAAGATTCCAGGTTGGCAGGAGGGACATTCTGAACATCTGGAAGTGGCACTCTGTGGAGGGTTCTGAGCCTTGGGGTTCAGAGAGGGTGGATGACCAGGAAGGTGCCCAGGATGGCGCTCTAATGACTGAAGAAAGTGGGGCAACTGACCCCAAACTGCAGGGACACAGAGATGGAGGATGCAGGGTTTCTGACCTTGACACGTGTTCTGACTCTCAAGACTGAAATTCATTGCTCCAGAAACAAGCCTGTATCCCGGGGCACACATGCAGTAGTAGCTCCCCTCCGTGTTCCGGCACTCTGCCAGTTTTCCACAGGAAACTGGCGAGGGTGGTCTGCACTCATCAATGTCTGAAACAAAACAGAACAAAGGGTCACCTCCCAACAGTGTGAGTTCCTATAGGACAGAGGTCCTGGCACCCAGCCAGACACTGTCATGGGGACTAGACAGAACACAGGTCCAGGGTGGCACTCCTGGGGCTGGGGCTGGGGCTGGGCTGGGCTGGGCTGGGCAGAGCCAGCTGCTGCAGAGCCCACTGACCTCTCTGCCCATGTCTGCTGTCTGGCTGCTCTGAGGACACCTAGACTCAGTAACTCTGCTGTTGCCTGAAGGGGCTGCATCCTGCTTTCCAGGGCTTGAGGAGTCGACAGAGGCACTGACTCAGGCTACAAATCCTCCCTGTGATACTGTTTACACCACTGGGCTCTGGGGAGTGACCTCCAGTCAGGTTGGGTGAGTCAGTGAAGGCCACCCTCAGGGCTGAGGTCATGGAATGGGTCAGGACTGAGGGCTGTCCATGGTGACACCATCATTCACACCTGAAGATAGAGCCAGGTGTGTAGCCCCCTGCCTATTGAGGTCTCCACCTCCCATCACTCAGAGTGGCTCAGAGTGGCACCTGACTCTCCTCCTCAGGTCCTCCCCCCAGCTCCTTTTGCAGATGCCCCAGGATGCCTCAGGGGGGAGTCTCCACCTCTGGAGGAAGTTCCCCTTTATCAGAGCCCAGCACAGATGTGAAATGAGGAAGCAGCCTGCAGTTGCTCACAGCTGAGTCAGTGCAGTGTTTTCTGGCATCTTACCTCCCTGTTCTCTAAACATGAGAGAGAGAGAGACTCCAATGACCAAGATCTACTTTGAGTAGCTCAGAGATCCACCGAGCAGGGGCTAGATACTCACTGTGGGCCAAAAACAATGTTTTATTAAGAAAAACATATACAAGAATGATTCAAAATGCAGGGATAGTACCCTGGTTGGTGTGCCTCTGTGGAATGAGTGCTGGCCTGCAAACCAAATGGTCACAGGTTGGATTCCCAGTCAGGGCACATGCCTGGGTTATGGATCAGGTCCCCAGTTGGGGGACAAGCTAGAGGCCACTGATCGATGTATCTCTCACACATTGATGTTTCTCTCCCTTTCTTTCTCCCTCCCTTCCCCTCTCTCAAGAAATAAACAAATAAATTCTTTTAAAAAATATGCAGGGGCAAAATGGTAGGTCATATACATTCCAATCAGGTGACCAAAGACTTTAGAGGCTGAAAGGACTCACAGTGTCATGAGTCAGGCAGCTGGTCTCCCCCAGATCCACCTTTCTTCTCCACACCTGTGGATTTCCCTTCTAAGTTCCCAAACCCAGGCTGTGACTTTCGACACCCAATACAGGACAGGAGGCACTCATGTTCATTCCCCACTTGGGCATTGGGACTTCTCCACTCTGTTCTCAGGTGGTGACAATGGCTACAGACCTGTCTTCAAGTTTGATGGCACGAGGTGAAGTTGAATGGGGGGGAGTTGGAAATGAGGTGTGCACAACAAGTAGATGTGACAGTGGAAAATTCCCCAAGCTGACAAGTGTGCTTCCAGCTAGGAACTGAGATCCAGTTATAGTAGCAGTGGGATCTCCTCCATGTCACCCAGACTACAAGTCTCCAAGAGACACACACATGCGAATGCACAAAGGAACCTAGGAATGCCTCCAGGGTCATGGATGGGCCAGGCACTGGTCACAGCAACATCGTTATATTTTCTCTGATAAAATCTGCTTTTCTCCAAATATTAATATAATAAGACATATATATATATAATATATATAATAAGACATGACACTTAGAAAATAAAATAAATGTTAAAGAAGGAAACAAAAAAAATAATTTAAAAAAAAAGGAAACAAAAAAACTCACCCATAAGTCCACTACACAGAAAACTAAAAATTTTAGAGGTATTTTTTCTTTTCAAACATATTAAGGGTGTTTTTTATTACCAATAAATAGTAAAAACAGGAGACATAATTTCATTCATGTCAGAGAGCCGGTCAGTCAGTGGCAAAGCTAGACTTTGAACCCACATCACCCGGCTCCACTGTGTAAGGTCTCAGCACGCTCCTACTGATCATGAAATTTTATTGCCCTCTCCCCTCCTCCTTCCCTGTCCTGCCGTGTCTCAGGCTTGACGAGGTGTTCCTGTGCTGCTCTCAAGGATGAGGTCTCTGGATGCCCCCACAACCACCCCCCCCCCACAATCTCTGTATGCCCTCCACTCCCCCAAGTCTCTGTACCATCACAAGTCTCCGTGGGGTCAGTGATGATGTTGGCAGATGAAGAGTTGAATCCTGGAAGGCACCGACAGGTGGTGGCGTTGACACATGTGGAGTGTCGGGGGCACCAGGGAGCACAGGCCATGGAGGCAGAGACTGTGGAGATGGAGACAACAGTCAGAGGACTCAAGAAATAAAGGCAGCCAGCTGGGGTCCAAGAGGAGAGGAGAGGAAGGAAGGAAGAGATGGCTGTTATTAGAAGAGGAACAACTAAGAAAACTCTGGACATTTAGGGAGAAAAATAGCTTTTCTCGCTTTCAGAAGACTTTTCTGAGCCTCACTTGCAGAATAAGCCTCCTTTCCTTCACTGGTGGTGAGAGGCCCCAGACCCCAGCACGACTCCCCATCTTACATCACTAATGGGGGTGGCTGGGCAGACTCACCTCCAAGGGCCTTGTCTGCAGGTCTTAATGTCAACAGCAGCAGCACTGAGAGTCCTGGGGCAGAAAAAACAGACAGGAGAGTTTCAATCCCATTCCACATGGTCATTGCCCCCTTAGCAGGTGGCTCTGGCCCTGCAGCCCACAGCTGCCAGCATATCCCCCAGGCTCCTGTACTTCACTGACAACTGAGACTCTGTCTTTCCCCTCCATCTCCTGGGACCCCCTGAGAAATCAGTCACCAACAGACACAGTCCTCATGGAACCCCAGGTGGCACAGGTAAGAACATACACACAGCTGCTGACAGGGACACATCTTGAACACCCCAACCTCTCCCAATGGAGGAGTTACATCTTAAAGGAGAAAGTCTTCAGACTGGTGTCCCTTTGCTCAGACCCAGGTTCTTCTTCTCTGTCAATGGCACAAATATGGGGATTTCTCTTCAATGATCATTTCCCCTGATTAAGGCACCCTTTGAAGGCATACAAGAAGAGTGTCAATTTCAGAGTTGGAGAGCCCAAAGTGTGAGCCCTAGCTCACAATATCAATGGGGATTAGAGCTCTGGAATAGGCAGAAGGGAGCTGATGAGAGGTGAGAAATGAGAACTAAGGCCCCTGCAGGTAGAGCCACTATCCCCTGGGTGAGGGGGGAGATAGCTACAGCACTGTGGCTTCCATGCCTCCTTCCAGATGAGCTCCTGGCTCCCCTGTCATGCACTGAGAGCTCAGCCTTTGCCCTTTATACCCTGAGAAATGGGGCACAGAGCAGGCTTTATGGTATGAAAATTACTACAGTGCCAAGGATACAACCTACTGTAAAGGCAATAACCAGTCTACCTGGCAGCCCATGCATGGGAGCCATGAACCCTAAGAGCATCTTTCCTGATCTCTGTGTCCCCTATACAGGGTCTTTCTTCTCAGGAGAAGGCAAAGATGAATTCCTCCTCCAGGCTGCACTGCCAGTTCAACACTCTGTAAGGTGACAGAGGACACCGGTGGAGAAGAAATTTGGAGTCACACGTGTCCAAGACTGCAACCCAAACTCCCACCTGGTGGCTGTGAGACTTCAGAAATGCCACCTAGTCTTTGAACCACAATTTCCCAATGCTAAATGGGTACAGTGGTCATTATAATAGGATGGGCATTATTATGATTGCACATTATTAGTGAAGACTAATAATGGGCTAGCACAGTGCCTGGCTCACAATAAACATTCCACAGAAGTCAGCTAAGGGAAAGAGTAAAGAAGAAAATGAAGAGTAGAGTTCTTCCTGTTCCTGCTTTTCCTTCCTGTTCCTACTTTACCTTACTGTTACCTGAAACACACCTGTGTCCAGGTCAGACCCAAGGTCAGGCATAATGACATGCTCTCTTTGGTTCTGCCAGGGGTCAGAATCCAGACTTCTGTTTTTCCCTCCTTGCCCACAAAATGCTCCTCTTCTCTGACAGCTCACTGCAGATGTGATGAGAGCCAGGCTCCAGGGCCAGACTGCCTAACCCAAAATCCAGCAGGGAGCCACCCCTTGGGAAAGTTGTCTAGGCATTCCTTGCCTCTGATGCCCCATCAACTATGTTTCTTCCATTTTCTAACATGTGGCACCCAAAGAAAAATGAAATGAGTCTTAATGTCCCTTACATAAGAATGAAGTCATTTGCTCTTCTGAGTTTATTTTATGGGTACAGGCACACATAAAAGTGATAATAAATTGGAGAAACTAAGTTTGTTTTCCATTTCTCTTAATTTTTTGTCCTTACCCAAGGACATTTTCTCATTGCTTTTAGAGAGAGAGGAAGGGAGAAAGACAAACATCAATGCAAGAGAGTAGCATTGATTGGCTGCCTCCCATATGTGCCAGACCAGGGAGCACACCCAGATGGGGGATGGAACCCACAACCTAGGTATGTGCACTGACCAGGAATCGAACCCACAACCTTTCAGTTATGGAATGACACTCCAACCATCTGAGCCACACCAGCCATGGCTTGTTTTCCATTTCTTTTAAATACCCACTGCATTTAGTACAATGAACCCTCCAAAATGCTCCCAGCTTTTTTTAAAAAATCATGTTCCACAAATCAGATAAGAAATGTGGATATTTTCACTTGAAATATTAATCAAAATTAAGTTGACCTTGATAATATCAGTTTTTACTATATCATTGTTATTATCCTCCAAATTATTCCATGGCACATACAAATTCTATAGACTAAATGACAATATTTTGTTTATCAAATTAGTTTTTCAGAAAGTTTGGCTATGTGCACTTCTGAAAAAATAGATTAAGTTGTGTTACAGTTAATTTTATGTATCAACTTGGCTAGATCACAATGCCCAGATCTTTGGTCAAACCTTACTGTAAATGGTGTTGAGAAGGTGTTTCTTACATGACATTAACATTTAAATCAGTAGACTTTGAGTAAAGCAGATGACCCTCCATAGTCTGGGTGGGCTTCATCCATTCAGTTGAAGGCCTTAAGAGAAAAAAAGTCTGACCTCCTTCAAAATAAATGGAATTCTATCTCCAAACTGCCTTTGAACTTGAGATGTGACATGAAGTCTTCCTTGGGTTTCCAGCCTGTCAGCCTGCCCTGCATATTTTGCACTTCCCAGTCTCTACTATTTCAGAAACCCATTTCTTAATATAATAGGTATAGTGAGTCCTCACTTAATATTAGTGATAGCTTCTTGTAAATGTGGCAAAATGACATATAACAAAACCATTTTCACCACAGGCTAATTGCTCTAACCAAGAGTTAGGTTCCTATAGTATCTCATCGATGTTATAATGAAATGACATTGAACAACATGATGCTATTCCAGGACCTGCCATATATTCTGTTCCTTTAGCAAATGTAGTGGTAAAATGAGAAACCTCTGTTAAGGCCCCAAGTTTACCCTAGAAATAAGTTTCACTGACTTTCTACTTTCAACATTTAGTATAATTGAGTGAATATTCTTAAAATTTTTTCCCTGCTTTCCTTTATAGAGGTAGTAGGAAAACCAGAAATAAAAGAACAGAGAAAATTCTCAAACTGGATATAGAAGTCCCAGATAGCTTTAAAGTTCCCAGGTAGTCATCCATTGCCATTGTTATAACTCTACCTACCTGGCAGCAACCTTAGATATCCATTCCTCATGGTGGGGATACCAGCAAGCCCAGGGGCAGAATGCCCATGATCTGGTTCTCTGCATGTTAAAAAGACTTCCTGTTTTAAATGTGACTCATGTCTTAGATTAACTAATTTAAGAAACACCTAATCTAGATGATTTCTTCCTCATTTTGTCCATGGATTAACTTCTTTGAAACTCACAATTCTATTTCTTAACTATTTGCATGACATTACTCATATTCTTATGGAAACCTCCTTGAGGGTGGTTGTTACATCTTTCTAATGTAGAAAGAATGCCCAACCATGAAGAATCACTCTACTAGTCTTTTTGCCCCTACAAGGACCTTGGTTCAGAATGGACAGATACCTATTATCTATTAGCAAACTTCTTTATTTTTTAGTTTTCATTTTGACATAAATATAGATTTACAGAAAGTTGCAAAAACAATACCAAGAGGTCCCGTGTGCCCTTCACCCAGTTTCCTGAAAGGGTTGCATTTCTATGTAATGATAGTCCAATATCTAAACCAAATAACTGACATTGGTACAATGTGTGTTCAGTCCATGGCACATTATCAAGTGTAGATTCCTGTAGCTGTCACTGCCACCAAGATGCATGGACATTCCATCAAGAGGTTCAAAATGCAGGCCTAGGTAAATATACATCACCTCCTCACAAAACCACATCAAAATTACAACTGAACTACAGAAAAACCATCATTCAGAACCATCAGAAATCAAGCTGAATGGAAGTCCTACAACTACAGAATTAAAGAAGAAACTACATCCAGACTAATAGGAGGGAAGGAGACTGGTAATGGGCTGGTCCCACACCCACATCTGGTAGATAAAAACTGAAAGGAATATCACAGGAGTAAGGAGTCCCAGCCCAAGGTTCCAGTGATAGGAAGATAAGTTTCAACCTCTGACTGTAAAAACCAGTGGGAATTGAGGCTGAAGAAGACAAACTGCTAGAGTCTCAGGTAGTTCCTCTTAAAGTGCCTGCACACAGACTTACTCTGAATCACTCCCTCTGAGCTCCAGCACAGGAACAGCAGCTTGAAAGGCATCAGAGACATACAGAGAGAAACTGAATTATCCAGCATCAGGGCAAGAACTGGGGAACAGTGTTCACCAAGACAAAAGTGCCGGCAGAGGTCATTGTTCCTTTTCTGAGCACTCCCCTCACAAAGCCACAGATCCAACAAGTGGGCAGCATATCTGAGACTCCATCAAACTGGCTAACACTGTTCCTCACCTCCCCATCTAGGTGATTCCCTGAGGCTTCACACCACCCAACCTTCGGGCCCACCCAGGCTGTTTCCAGGGGCTTTTCCATATAAATGGCTTGTCTTAGTTCATGCTTCAGATCCTCCCAAATTCTCTCTGACAAACAGTATCTCACCTCAGTGTGCTGGATGCCTATTGCTGAGTTGCTCCAGGCGCAGCACTACCAGCAACTAGCATTGGTTTATAGCTTGGACTCACTTGGGCAACTCTATGACCAACAGAAGTAGCAGCCAACAGTAAACTGCTTCGTAGCTTATTTGTGTGGCCCCAGACAGAACACAGTGGTTGGCTTACCTTGGTATGCACCTCCCAGGAGGCCACAAAACCACCTCTGCAAATGACACACTCAAGGGGTGGACTCAGCAGGCACCATAACTTTGCTGAAGTAAGTCCTCCTCTGTGGAGTAGGTCCCTCCACAGTTGATCCTATACAGTGGTCAGAGGTTGGTGGTAAGTGGTCACTGCCGATCCCTGAAGCTGATCAGCCTGGGTAAATCCCTCCCATTGACCAGACAACAGCAACAAATGCTCAGCTTCAGGGAGGGAGTGTACACAGCCCACTTGGTGGGCACACCTCAAGTGCCCAGCTTGGGTGATAGGGGAAGCTGTGCCACTGGACCCTACAGGACATTTACTACATTAGGCCACTCTAACAGCCAGGCAGTTGTAACAGCTCTACATAATATGTGGAAACAAACACAGGAAGGCTGCCAAAATGAGGAGACAAAAAAGCACAGCCAAAAATAAGGAATGGAGCAAAACTCCAGAAGAAAAACTAAACAAAATGGAGACAAGCAGCCTGCTAGATGCAGAGTTTAAAACACTGTTTACGAGGATGTTCAGTAATGCTAGTGAGGACCTCAAACTGCATTAAAAAACAGCATGGAAACCATGGAAATGATCCAGTCAGAAATTAAGGATACACTAACTGAAATGAAGAACAACTTACAGGAAATCAACAGAAGAACCAAATCAGAGATTTAGAATATAAGGAAGCAAAAAACACCCAATCAGAACAACGGGAAGAAAAAAAAATTCCCCAAAATGAGAATAGTTTAAGGAGTCTCTGAGACAACGTTAAGTATACCAACATTCACATCACGGGGATGCCAGAAGGAGAAGAAAGAGCAAGAAGTTGGAAACCTATTTGAAAAAATAATGACAGAAAATTTCCCTAACTTGGTGAAGGAAATAGACATAAAAGCCCAGGAAGAACAGAGTCCCAAATAAAATGGACTCAAAGAGGCCTACACTAAGGCATGTCATAATTAAAATGCCAAAGGTTAAAGACAAAGAGAGAACCTTAAAAGTAGCAAGAGAAAAGCAGTTAGTTACCTACAAGGGAGTTCCCATTGTAGCTGATGGGAGCTGATTTCTCAAAAGAAACTTTTCAAGCTAGATAGACTTGCCAAGAAATATTCAAAGTGATGAAAAGCAAGGATCTACAACCAAGATTACTCTACCCAGAAAACCTATCATTTAGAATTGCAAGACAGATAAAGAGCTTCCCAGACAAGAAAAAGCTAAAGGAATTCATTGTCACCAAACCACTATTATATTAAATGTTAAAGGCCCTTCTTTAAAAAGAAGATAAAAAATATGAACAATAAAGTGGCAATAAATACATATCTATCAATAATTAAATCTAAAAAAGGAAACAACAAGCAGAACAGAAACAGAATCATAGAATATTTTGATGGTTGCTAGATGGGAAGATGGTCAGGGGGACAGGCAAAAAGGCGTAGGGATTAAGAAATACAAATTGGTAGTTACAGAATAGTCATAGGGATGTAAAGCACTACATAAGGAATAGAGTAGCGAAAGAACAGACGCATATATGCATGACCCATGGATATGGACAATGGTGAGAGGATTGCCAGAAAGAGTGGGCAGGTGGTCTTGGTGGAGAGGGACAAAGGGAGAAAATTTGGAACAACTGTAATAGCATAAACAATAAAATACATTTTTTCTTTTTCTTTTTAATTACTTTATTGTTGTTCAATTACAGTTGTATGCATTTTCCCCCCACCCCTCCCCCACACCCCAGCCAAACCCACCTCCCTCCCTTGCTTCCACCCTCCCCCTTGGTTTTGTCTATGTGTCCTTTATAGTTCTTCCTAAAAACCCTTCCCCCCTGCACTGTCCCCTCTCCCTCCCCTCTGGCTATTGTTAGATTGTTCTTAATTTCAATGTCTCAGTTTATATTTTGTTTGCTTTTTTCTTTTGTTGATTATGTTCCAGTTAAAGGTGAGATCATATGGTATTTGCCCCTCACTACCTGGCTTATTTCATTTAGCATAATGCTCTCCAGTTCCATCCATGCTGTCACAAAGGACACTTCTCCAAGGAGGACATACAGAGGACCCAGAGACATATAAAAAGATGCTCAGCATCACTAACCATCAGAGAGATGCAAATTAAAACCACAATGAGATACCACTTCACACTGGTCAGAATGGCCATCATAAACAAAGCAACAAACAACAAGTGTTGGAGAGGTTGTGGAAAAAGGGAACCCTAGTGCACTGTTGGTGGGAATGCAGACTGGTGCAGCTGCTGTGGAAAACAGTATGGAATTTTCTCAGAAAACTAAAAATGGAACTGTCTTTTGACACAGCAATTCCACTGCTGAGATTATACCTTAAAAACCCTGAAACACCAATCCAAAAGAACCTATGCAACCTAATGTTCATAGAAGCACAATTTACAATAGCCAAGTGCTGGAAGCAACCTAAGTGCCCATCAGTAAATGAATGGGTCAAAAAACTATGGTACATTTACACAATGGAATTCTACACAGCAGAGAAAAATATATAATTTTTAAAAAAACATTCCATCAGCACAAAGATCTCCATCATACTAGCCCAACATCCCTAAACTCTGCCAAGACTAAAACTGAGATGATCTTTTTCTTCAACAACACTCAAAGGAGTTTTAGGTTCTTATTATTAAAATAAAAATATTCCTGCTGTTTTAAAAAATTAGAAAAATATATCCCCCCCAAAAAAATAATTTTCTACTGGTCTGTATGGTAGAATTATGGTGATTTTCTTTGTCTACATTTTTCACATTTTCTTTGTCTTCTACATGGCTATATATATTAGTCTTCTAGAGCTGCCATAACAAAACAGTATAGACTAGGCAGCTTAAACAACAGAAATTTACTTTCTCATGATTTTGAAGGCTGGACATCTAAGACCAAGGTGCTGGCAGGGTTGTTTCCTGATGAGAGCTCTCTCTTGGTGTGTAGATAGCTGCCTTCTCCCTGTGTCCTATGGGGGACAGTGAAGGCTGGTGTCATAGCTAAGGCTGAGTGCTTAGCAAAGCCGCACTTGAGTGCTTGCTTCTGCAAGGTGGATCCAAGCCCATGGCAACAGCAGCCAGAAACTGCAGGGGTTGAGAATGAAATAGATAGCTTCAAGTTTCAGCTGAATGAGACTGTAACTTTTGCAGAAGACATATGCATCAGTTAGATAGCCTAGGAACTGAACAATCTGTGCCTGCAGCATCTCCCTAAGTTTGCAAAATGCCCTTGAGCTCTATCTAACTTACCCCTATAAAATAAACTCAGAGACCATGTTCAAGGTTCATTGTCTCTTCATCAGAGGACGGTGTCCCACCTGGCCCCTGCTTTTCCTTAAACTGTGTTGTGTCTTTCTTCATCTCCTGTTGACCCCACTCAGGGACCCCCCACTCTGCCCTGGTCATGACAGTGTCCTCACATGACATTTCCTCTGTGTGTGTGTATGTATGTGG